AAAGGGGGCTGACATTCAGAGGCGAGTGTGGCATTGAAGGGCCAAGGCCTGGGTATATTTTAGAGCCTTTGGATAAGGGGGGTTTGGGCCCACAGAGGTCTGGGCCAAAAGGAATGTCCAGGGCTGTGGATCTTTGATGTTGATTGTGGTCACATGAGTCTTAGAACTTGATGTCTTAGACATTAGCATCTCATGCCTTCGAATGGTGGGCTAGATGGGAGGAGACAAGGTAAAGAATTTTTCCTGCAAGAGATCTGTCAGAGGTTTCCAATCCACAAGCTCTTTGGCAAAAAAAACTAGTCTATTATCATTTCTATGGCTCTGTCCTTGTCTTGCATCTGTTGGAGATTTGCCGAGGGGGTGGGATAGGCTGCCAATGCCTGAATGCTTCCTAAAACCTGCCTGTTGGAATTTCTATTGATGTGCAACCTGTGCTATCAAAGTGTGTCAAAGTAAAAATGGTTATGTTGAGGCAAATTGTGAACTAAGTTTATTCTGAGTTTCTCTGGGTCCCTTTTTTCAGTTTGTTTTCAATTTTGTTTATATCTGCTCTGATTTTTGCTATTTCTTCCCTTCTTCTAATTTTGTGGGGGGTTTTTTTTCTTGCTTTTCTAGTTTGTTGCTGTGCATCATTAGGTTATTTGAAGTCTATCTATTTTTTTGCTATAAACTTTTTTCTTACTACTGCTTTTGTGTTATCCCATAGATTTTTGGTATATTGTGCTTTCGTTTTCATTTGATTTTTAATTCCCATTTCATTTCTTTCTTGACCCTAGTGATCATTCAGGAGCATATTGTTTAATTTCCATGTGTGTTTTTGGAGGTTCCTCTTGTTATTGATTTCTAGTTTTATTCCATTTTGGTCAGAAAAGATACTTTATATCACTTCTACTTTTTAAAATTTGTTGACACTTGTTTTGTGGCTTAAGGTATGGTTTATTCTGGAGAATGTTCTTGTGCTGATGAAGGGAATGTATATCCTGCAGCAGTTCTGTAAATGTTCTGTAAATGTCAGACAGGCCTATTTGGTCTAGTGTATAGTTAAACTCTGATGTTTCTTTGTTGATTTTATGACTGGATGATCTGTTCATTAGAATTAGAATTGGAATATACCAGTCTGTCTCCAGATTGAGATGTTGAATTCTTCTAGTGTGATATTATTATTATTTTTTTAAGTTGGAGTGTTACTGTCACCCAGGCTGGAGTGCAGTGGCACACTAACAGCCAACCCAGCATCGGCCTGCTGGACTCCAGCAATCCTTCTGCCTCAGCCTTTCAAATAGCCGAAACTACAGGCACACGCTACCATGTCCAGTTAATTTTTTTATTTATTGTAGAGATGAGGTCTTGTCAAGTTGCTGGGGCTGGTCTCAAACCCACAGGCTCAGGCATTCCTCTTGCCTCTGCCTCCCAAAGTGCTGGGATTACAGGCTGAGCTATGGAGCCCAGTCTACTGTGGTTGTATTGTAGTTCATTTCTCCTTTTTAATTTGTTAATGTTTGCTTTACGTACTTGAGAGCTTTGGTGCTTGGGACACAGATATTTATAATTGTTATATCTTCTTCCCGAATTGGCCCTTTATCATTACCTAGTGACCTTCTTTGTCTCTTTTTACAGTCTTTGGTTTGTAGTATTTTATCTAAGAGCTACTCTTGCTCTTTTTTAAGGCTTACAGTTGCATGAAATATCTTTTTCCAACCCTGTACTTTTAGTCTGTGTCTATCCTTATAGGCAAAGTGGATTTCTTGTAGGCAGCATATAGTGGTGGCTTACTTCTTTATCCATTTGGGCACTCTGTGCTTTTTAATTTGAGAATCTAGTGCATTTACGTTTAGTATTATTGCCGATAAGTGAGATTTTAATACTACCGCTTGTTGCTTGTTCTCTGATTGTTCTGTAACTCTTCTCTTTCTTCCTGTCTTCTTTCGTGTCTCTGGTAGTATGTTTTAGTCATTGCTTTTTATTTTATTTTTTTTGGAGTTGGAGTCTCACTCTGTCACCCAGACTGGAGTGCAGTAGCTGCTCCCGGCCACCACAGCCTCGACCTGCTGGGCTGTGGCGATTCTTCCGCCTCAGCCTTCCAAGTAGCTGGAACTACAGGCACCTGCTACCATGCCCGGCTGATTTTTTGATTTATTGTAGAGATGAGGTCTTGCCAAATTGCCCAGGCAGGTCTCAAACCCTCAGGCTCAGGCAGTCCACTCACCTCGGCCTCCCAAAGCGTGGGATTACAAGCTGAGCCACCAAGCCCAGCTTGCTTTTTATTTTTAGTGTTATTATAGGTTTTTACATTGTAGTTGCCATGAAGCTTACTAAAAGTATCTTATAGATAAAACAAGTTATTTTAACGAGATGATCATTTATCTTAGATCACAAAAAAAAAGAATAGAAATAGATACATACAAAATGGGAAAAAAGCCCCTCTACACTTTAATGCCATTCCTCCTGCATTTTTGACATTCTGTTGGCTCAATTTCCATACTTTTATATTATCTTTCTCTTAACCTTGCTGTAGCTATTTTTGTTTTTGACAGGTTTGTCTTTTGGGCTTCATCCTAGAGTTATGAGTGGATTGCACACAACAGTGACAGTATTACAGTACTGTGGGTTTGTCTGCATACTTAATTTACCAGTGGATTTTATACCTTCAAATATTTTCTTTTTTCATGTTAGTGTTTTTTTGGTTTCATGTTGAAGAACTGTCATTAACATTTCTTATAAGACAGGTCTGATAATGGTGAATTCTCTCAGCTTTGGTTTGTGTTGGAAAAACTTTGTCTTCATATTTGAAGGATAAATTTGCTAGATACAGCATTCTTGGGTGGTAGGTTTTTTTTTCTTTTAGTGCTTTAAAAATGTTACTCTCTCCCCCCCCCAGTCTATATTGATTTATTTTGAGAAGTCTGTTACCAAAGTGGAGCTCTTTTACATGTTATTTGCTTCTTTACTTTAGCTGCTTTTTTTTTTTTTTTTTGTCCTTGGCCTTCAAGAGTTTGATTATAATATGCCTTGGGGTTGTATTTTTTGGGATGAATCTGTTTGGTGTTTTCTGACCTTCTTGGCCCTGGATATTTATTTGTCTCAAGTTTTGAAAAACTTTTGTTATTATGTCTATCAGTGAGCTTTCCACCCCTTGCTCTTGCTCAACTCCCTCTTAAACACCAGTAATTCTTAGGTTTGGTTTTCTGAGGTAATTTTCTATATCTTGTAGTTTTTTTAAAAATTCTTTTTTCAACTCTTTTTGTTTTCAGACAGCCTGTCTTCATGCTTACTTATTCTTTCCTCTGCTTGATCCAGTCTGCTGTTAAACGCCTTTACTGAATTTTTCCATTCAGCAAATGTGTTTGTCGGTGCCAAGATTTTTTGTTTGTTTGTTTGTTTTTTTAGTATTTCAGTCTCCATGAATTTTCTTTGATAAATTTCTTTGATAAATTGGTTTTCTGCATTATTCTGGATATCACTACGTTTCCTTAAAACTGCTATTTAGAATTCTTGGTCACATATCGCCATTTTGTTAGGGTCATTCACTGGTTCTTTGCTTTGTTTGTTTGGGGAGGTCATGGTTCCTTCTTTGCTGTTGTTTCTTGTGGATAAATGTCTATGTCTTTGCACTGAAGCATTATTTATATATTCCAGTCTTTTCTATCTGACTTTTTTGGATTTTTATTGGATGTGTTTGCTTAGAGGCTCTTGTAATTTATCTTTTGATTTTCTATTTTATGTCCTGCTTGATCTCTCCCTCCTACTTCAGCACTAGGTAGTGCCTTAAGCCCTAGTTTGTCTTGATTCTAGTAAACAGCCACGTGTTGCCCTTCTCAAATGGGACAAATGCCAGAGGGGCTATCTTATGGTAGTTAGGATGATTTGCTAAGAGTTCGTGCCCAGAGGATTTGTGAAACGAACCTCCTACAACATGGTGCTGCGAAATAGCCATTCTCATTTGGCATCTCAAGGATATTCAGGAACTCCCAGTAGTTTTTCTGGGTTGAGGTAGGGACAGGTCTCCTGCCAGGGAACGCAAGATGACGGGGAAGCTGATTGTCTGATGGTCTACCTCGATTTCACTTTTCCAGGGCAGAAATTGAGTTGGGAAGAAGTTTTCCATTCTTGGTGCTAGGCAGATTGAGGGGAGGGTTGTTACAGATATGAAGTCCACTTCTCTTGACGTCTACTCTGATTTTATTTCTTTTACTTCTCTGTGGCCCTAGGAGCTATCTTCTCCTTATATTTGAGTTTCAGGATATTGCTGGCAATAATCTTGGAGCTGTGTATTTGTTTTTGGTTTTCTTTGAGGAAGGAGAAGGCAGCCTCCTTCAAAGAACTGGAAGTTTTTCTTAGTTCTTAAAATAAATCTAAATAAGAAAGTACACTGGTCAAAACATGTTAAATAAATGATACATAAAGGTAGCACTAGAATATGGCAAAAATCCTGATGATTATATATAAGTGATTAAGAGCTGGAAAGCACTACTGTTTGATACTTATTTCTAATTTTTTCCCCTTACAAATAAGGCTGAAGTGACCTCTTATTTATCTAAATCTTTTTATATATACTGATTTTCTTTAGTATAAAGCAGTAGAAGTCCCAGAAATTCCAGAAAGCAAATGCATTTGGGGAAGTGTGCATGTGTGTATGAGTGTCTTCTCATATAATCTCAAGTCCAGAGATTACACTCTCACCAAACAGTGAACGGCAGTTTCTATTTTTTCTTATTCTACCTAAATCTGGGCTAATTTTCTTTTCTTCAGACATGACATTTTCAGTTTTTACCGGTAAACCTCAATATTTCAAGTAGGTTCATCCAAAAATAACTAGTTTCTTTGCATTCCATTAATTAGTTATTCTTATATTAAAGACTACAATAACTGTCCTTTATTTTATCACTTTTATTTAGTGATAATTTGATCTGTGAAATAAAATGACCCTTAAAACTGTCTTTTTCTTAGTGGTGATGAAGAAATTATCTTTGACAATAATGGAAGTTTCCTTTCTTCTGTAGCTTGCCCAGTTTAGACAAAGGAAAGCTCAATCTGATGGGCAGAATCCTTCCAAAAAGCAGAAAAGAAGGAGAAAAATCTCAAGCACTAAACATGACGAGTCAGCATACCATCACTTGAGTGATCAATCACGGTGTGATGAGATGTACATAAGTAGTTCTCAGACAGCTGTGACTCCTGAATCTTCAATAATGAAAACTCTGCGTAGTGGAGAAATAGTCACACATGACTCGGTCTTCTCTGTTGAAGTAAGTATTCTTCCAGATTTTAAATGTTATAGTTATAAATGAAAAGTAATGTGATGACAACAACCATTAGCACCCTGTGCAATTTGGTCATGCTTTTTATTTCATTTTGAAATTTGCAATAGTATGGTAACTAAACAGTTATACCAAAAATGTTTAGTAACCTCTAAGAGGGAGTTTTGTGAGCCTAATTCAACAAACATTATTAGACATCTGTAATGCACTAAGGATTGAGCACCAGAGATACAAAGATGAATATGACAGTCTCTGACCTTTAGGAAAATCAGTCTAGTGGAGCAGGCATATGTAAAGATATGCAGTGTACTATGATTAGCTCTGTGCTAGTGACTGTACATGATACTCTAGAGTGTGGGGAATGCCCAATTTAGCCTTGTTTATGCAATTTGGGAAGATTTCTTGGAAGAGATAGTAGAACTGAGCCTTGAAGTGTGAGCTGGAATTAGAGGCAAAGAAGTTAGAGAAGCAACCTCTGTGCAAATGAAACAACATTCATAAATAAATAAAACAGGGTGATATGGTCTGGAAACTGTAAGTAGTTTGATCTGAAATGGATTACAAAGTGATAGGGATGGGATGGTGATAATGGTGAGGGGCTGGAGATTTTTACCTGGCATGTAGTAGAGGCTCAATGAATTTTAATTTCTCCCACTTGATGTAATTTTCCGGGATAAAGGAATGAGGGAGAAATTAAGGTTAGATTGAAATGGTAGGTGGGATGGTGGAGCCACTAACCAAGACCAGGAATAGAGAAGGATGTGTTGCTTAGGAGGAATTGTGTTGGGCAGGGCAGATGCTATTCATTATTTTGGTTGTGCCATGGCATATTTGTGTGGAAACAGTGACATTTTGATATGTAAGGATTTGAGCTTTGTTCAAGAAATCAGGGTTGGCAATGGAAATATGTCCTTTATCAAAGTAGGAGAGCACTTTTAAGAATATAGCACAAAAAGAACAAATGGAACCCACGATACTTAACTATATATGCTATGTAACATTTATTCTTCAGATACAAGCAATGAGATTATCTGTGGTAGTTGTGTTCTGTGAAGTTTCCACAAACACTGAGTTAGTGAATACTTAACCATTGCTCAAAGGGGAAATACAAGGTTAGATTCTTCCAAGCCACTTGTCACAATATTTTTGTCAACTAACTGATCTATAATCTTGTTTTATGTGTTTTCCTGTTTCAAGACATGTTATTTAATCTAAATTATTGATTCATTAATATTGAATCTATGGTCAACAGCACTATTACTCATGCCTGAACAAAGCTTATCTTACACACGTGTTTTCTCCATAAAGTGTATCACAACCTTCCTACTTTTAGGAACACTAGATGGCACTTCAGCGTCACAGTTGGGAACCATTTTAAGCAGTGAAATCAATAACAAAAATCACAAAAATGTGGCAGTAAATGGACTGTGTAAAGGACACTGGCTTACATTATGAGAGCTGAAACAAGAAGACAAGATGTTGCCTTGTTCTAACTTAACTAGGAATGTGTGCTTTGGATGACAAAATTTTCACCACTCTGCTCATGTCCATGAATGATACCATCAATATGCTGCATATATTGATTTTTAGAGTTATCAGAAAGGTATATTGAATAATTGATTTCACAAATACAAAATCTGTAAATATAAGATCAACTCGATTTATATCATATATATGATTTGCAAATGTCTCTCATTTTGTTTTTTCACCTTCTTGATAGTGTCCTTTGTTACACAAATTTTTATTTTTTATTTCTTTTTGTGTTGGAGTCTCTCACTATGTCATCCAGGCTGGAGTGCAGTGGCATGCTTATGGCCACTGCAGCCTCAACCAGCTGGGCTCAGGTGATCCTTCTCCCTCAGTCTTCCGAGTAGCTGGAACTATAGGCACACGCCACCACACCTGGATAATTTTTTGATTTGTTGTAGAGATGAGGTCTCACCAAGTTGTGCAGGCTGGTGTCGGACCCATGTGCTCAGGCAATCCTCTCACTTTGGCCTCCCAAAGTGCTGGGATTATAGACGTGAGACATCATGGCCAGCCATACAAATTTTTTTAGTTTTGATAAGGTACAATTTAACTATATATATATATATATATATATATATATATATATTTTAGTTGCTTGTGCTTTTGTTATCATATCTAAAGCAACCATTGTCAAATCCAAGATCATCTAAGTTTTCTTTGCAGACTTTGATCATTTTAGAGCTTAAATTTTAGTCTTTTATCTATTTTAGTTAATTTTTATATGTGGTAGGAGGTAGGTGTCCAACTTTATTTATTTTTTTTTTGGCAGGCGTATATTCATTTATCCCAGCACTGTTTGTTAAAAAGATTATTCTTTTTCTAATGAATTGTCAGTGACTACAAATACGAGGGTTTATTTCTAGCTCCTCAATTACATTTGTAGATCTTTATGTCAAATGAAATTTTTAGATTAGATGAGAGAATGAACAGTGAAAGCAGTACTTTGGGAGTCAGAAAAAATTTGAATTTGCTCCGTGACTCTTCCTATTACTTCTTAGCTAAGGAAAGCTCGAAAAACCCACTCACTCCATACCCCAATCCCAGAGATGTGATAGTGAAACAAGAATGTCTTTCAAAGTGCTTTTGTAAACTACAAAGGTATTATAACAACAAAGGTTATTATTTTTACTTAAAGTTATTGATTTTTTTTAGCATCAGGATTTTATTATTCTTCTTTTGGATAAATTGAACTTCTTAGACACTAGCATCTTAGGACTTTTCTCTTTTTTTTGAAAGAAGTACAGTTGTTCTTCCTTATCCATGGAGGGTACCAAACCCTTTTTATGTACTATATTTTTTCTCATACATACATAATTTATTAATTAGGCATAGCACTCTTGTGTTTTGGGATCATTATTAAATAAAATAAGGGTTACCTGAGTTCAAGCACTGCAATATTGCATCACAGTGGATCTGATAACTGAGATGGCTACTAAGTGACTGTCGGATGGGTAGTGTACACAATGTGGATACACTGGACAGAGGGATGATTCTCATCTCATGGGATGGATGGGACAGCATGAGTTTTCATCATGCTACTCAGAACAGTGCACAGTTTAAAACTTATAAGGTATTTATTTCTGAAGTTTTTTATTTAATATTTTTGGACTGTAATTTACTGTGGGTAACGAAAATTGTGGGGAGTGAAACCATGGATGAAGGGGAGCTACTGTACAAGGATTAAAGGAATGGTGTCATATTTGGTGCCTTTGGCTTACAGGTCGTATGTACTGTTTGTAAGACCCTGTGTGAAAGTACCTCTTGATAGTTTTATGTTAAAAAAAAAAAATGCCTAGAGGTAAATTTTAGTTGCATCATTTTGACATTGTGATTTATAATTCAATGAAATTTTTAAATATTTGAAGAATTTTTACTAGTTTTTTTGCAGCATTTTATATTTTCTATCATATGTAACAGTAATGGCATAATACAAAGTCTGATATTTACCCCATAAAAGTCATAATTGTAATTGGTTTTTACTTTTGTTTTAGCCTGAAAGTGAAATTTCAAACACAGCAGATGATTACAGTTCAGAGGTAAGACTAAGTTATATTATGATTTCAAATATCTTAAATAAAATCAGTATTTTATATTATTTTTAAAATTATGTATTGTTGCAGCTTTATTTCTTATAACATATGATTATATTGTATTTTTATATAATGTAAATGACTAGAAAACCTAAAGGTTATGTTTTGCCGATACACCTTTTTTCAGATTGTTAGCTAAGATCTCAAGTTTGTTTGAATGACTTAGCCCTTAATTAGATAAAGTCTCTGTTTTATTTTCTGGGAAGTATTTGATATTGGATTTCTAGCATACATGATCATTGCAAGGTAACTATATTTAGCACAGTAAAACATTTGTAATATAGGTTATTTTGTTTTGAGTAATGCTTTTTACAAATGCTCAAATTCTAGCTAGTCATATTTACTAGTTTATTCAAATTAATGTTGCAATAGTGTTTATTTCAGGTGATAAAGGCTAATATAGGCATCGGCCACTTTAGGAAATATCTTCTTTATGTGTTGTGATATGTCATTTTGTTATCTTTTTCCTTATTCTTTTAGATGTGATTATGATTTCTTTGGTCTAGAATTTGAGGACTTGGAAAATGATTCCTTTTTCTGAATTGTTTAACAACTCAGTGTATACAGAAAATCTCAACTTATTATAGATTTATGATAGGAAAAAATCCATTAATTTTAAATGAACATATTAAGCAACAAGTTTGACACCTCAAAATTCAGTGTGTTTAAAAGCTGGAATAGGCCGGGCTTGGTGGCTCAGCCTGTAATCCCAGCACTTTGGGAGGCCGAGGTGAGTGGATTGCCTGAGCCTGCGGGTTTAAGACCAGCCTGAGCAACTTGGCGAGACCTCGTCTCTACAATAAATAAAAAATTAGCCTGATGTGGTAGCGTACACCTGTAGTTCTGGCTACTTGGAAGGCTGAGGTGGAAGGATCCCTATAGCCCAGCAGATCGACACTGGGGTGGCTGTGAGCGTGCTGCTGCCCTCCAGCCTGGGCAACACAGTAAGACTACAACTCAAAAAAACCCCAAAAAACTGGAATATACTTACTAGTAATCTGGTCGGGAAAATAACTAATCCAATGAATAAATTGATGCCCTATTTAGGATATACATAGTTTCCTCAATGGAAAATATCTTGATTTAAAATCACTGCTTGCAATTCAGAGTCTACTTTGTGACTTTAAATTTGGTGTGCAATACAAATTTGGTTGTCTGTATCAGCAGGTTCTGCATATGAGGATTTGACCAACCATGGATCAAAAATATTTGGAAAAAGCAAAAATAACAGTAGACTAATACAAATAATACCAATTAAAAAATACAGTATAATGGCCATTTATATAGTATATAAGTAATATTGGAATGTCTTAAAGTATACAAGAGGATTGTGTAGGTTATATACAAATACTACACCCCTTTGTATAAGGGACTTAAGCATTCACAAATTTTTGTATCCTTAGGAAGGATTATGGAACGAGTTTCCCTGAAGACACCAAGGGATGCCAGTATATGAAAATATTTCTCTTTCTATAATGCCTAATTCTTACAGCTTGCTTTTCTTCTATTTTATTTGTTTTTTTGAGTTTGGGTCTCTATTACCCAGGCTGGATTGGGGTGATCATTGTTCATAGTAGCCTCGACCTCCTGGGCTCAGGCGATCCTTCTGCCTCATCCTCCTGAGTATCTGGGACTGCAGGCACATGCCACCATGCCAGGCTAATATTTTTATTTTTTGTAGATACGATGTCTGACTATGTTGCCCAGGCTGGTCTCAAATTCCTGCGCTCAAGCAGTCCTCCTGCCTCAGCCTCCTAAAGTGCTGGAATATAGATGTGAGCATCATGCCTAGCTGATACTTTTTCTTTTTAATGCTGATCAAAAATCTAAATTGATTAACTGCCTTACATTTTGAAAAAAAGAGTAACTTTCAAGATTACATTGAGAAAAGATAATTTTCGGTAAATTTGACCTGGTTCAAGTTATAACCCTTGTAATATTATTTGTGTGATGTCTGGATTCACAAAGGATTATACTTTGAACAACTTTTATATACACTGTTTCTATAGAAAACCTAACACAAAAGTTAATAGTTTGTAAAACGTTGGGGGTATCTTAACTGGATTACTGAGATGAATACTGATTGAATTCATGATGATCTGGGCTAGTTTTGAGACTTTAGCTACTTCATTTTATGGTGTTAGACTGCCTTGACTAAACCAAAGTTACAGGGGACTTCTAAGCCTAATTCACTTATTCAGGAGTCAGAAGAATCATCAGCAGACCAAAGTTATAACCTGAGGAATAAATCTCACAGTGTAATGCTTTTTATATTGAAATTCTTAAGAAATTATCCCTCAGTGACACCCCTAAATAAGTGAGATTTCTTTCAGGGCAACACATACATTATAACTTCATTACAAATGCTAGACTTGCAAAGTTTAACCATCTTGGCAGCTCTGGTTTGCATTTGAGTCTTCTAAAACTTTAAAATCACATTGTTCTGATCATAGACCACGTTGTGATCTTATATTTTGCCTAAATATCACTATCATTTTTCTGGTAAGTAGACCAATAATGTGATGTAAGAAAAGAGCAGGGGACCTTGGAGCCAGGAAGTCCTGTGTTCAGTTTCAACTTAATCACCTTTGAGCTTGTATGAACATGATCTCACCACTTAAGCTCTGAAATACAATTTCCTTTCCTACAAAATGGTGTTAATAATATCTACTTCATAGAATGGTTGTGAACCTCACAAAATAGTTGTCTCAAAATAATCTTGAGAAGATTTAGTATATGTTTGGCATATAATAGATATGCAGCATAGCTGAGTTGCTGTATTGCTCTTCACTAGAAATATGCGTCTCTTCACACTGTGTTTATATGAAACAAGTGAGTAATGAGAATTCCTTTAATAAATTATTCTGAGAAGGATTTCAAATTCTGTTAGTGTATTTAGTTAAAACTTGGTTTAGAAATTGTATATAGGTATGGTATATGTTTAATGTTCTTGACTTCTGTGAGTAGTACACTCATTTTGTTGAGTAATGGCTTCAATCCTAGAAATAATTAATCAAATAGTTTTATTCCAAGATCTCCTTTGTGTAAATATATATCCAATTAGACTTGGGAAATCAGATTAAAGAAAAAATCTCTTCTCCAAATTATATACAATTATCTTCATTCCTTGATTGAGATTGAAGGGATATTTTATATGCAGAACACCATGTTTACATGAGTTATTATTTCTATTAATTATTCTTTTTTTTGAGTTCAGTCTCACTCTGTTGCCCAAACTGGAGTGCAGTGGCATGATCATGACAATCACCGCTCATGGCAGCCTCGACCTCCTGGGCTCAGGTTATCCTTTTACCTCAGCATCCTAAGTAGTTGAGACTACAGGTGTGTGCCACCAGGTGTGTACTTGGTTAATTTTTTAAATTTTTTTGTAGAGATGAGTATTCTCTATGTTGCCCAGGCTGGTCTCGAACTCCTGAGCTCAAGCAATCCATCTGTATTGGCCTCCCAAAGTGCTGGGACTACAGGCCTGAGCCACTACAACTGGCCAGTGAATTATTTTTGACACCCTTTGAGCCAGGCTATTTGGTGGAAGTTGGGAATACTACAGCCAAGATAGGTAAATAAATATGCTTTGCTGTGCATAGAAAGATGAAATGTTAGTAGGGTATGTACTCTCATTATAGATTTGATTTGATTATTCAATACTTCTGAACCAAGTTGCTTGTATGATTTATGATGTTTGTGAAATGACTTAAGTTGGAGACATAGCCTATAGTCATAAAGTAATATAAACTTAGCTTTTCATCTTTGACTTTGAATGAATAATTTTAAACTCACTATTTACTTGACTAACTCCATGAGTCAGCCAGGCACATTGAACTCGTAATTTCTATGAATTCTTATGAACCTTTAGATTCTTTTAATGATAACATAAATTATTAATGCTTTTAAATGTATGTATTTCCAAACTAAATATGATAAGAATAAGGTATTAATCATATATGAATTAAAGATTATTTTATGTTTTGAAACTACTGTTCTCTAAAAGGATGAATTTTTATATGAAGGCTATTTTTTAGTTGTACAATCAAAATTATCTTTCCTCTGATTCGTTCTGAATAGCAATGTTATTATGATATGATACTTTACAGAACATTTAAAAATTTAAAATGTACCTTACTTGTACTTTTCTAGATCTTTAAGCTATCTATGCAGATTGAATAAATGTTTTGTGAATTCAGAAGGAATATATTTATTACACAGCCATAAAGGACAAAATTATGAACTTCACGGCAACTCAGATGAATTTAGAGTCTGTAATACTCAGTGATCTATCACAGAAACAAAGAACTGAGTACCACATGTTCTCACTCATAAGTGGACCCTGAACAATTATTATAATACTGTAAGAAAGGAATTGGCAGTAGTGGAAAACTGCCGGGGGAGGGAGGCGGGGAGCAAACTTCATCAATAAGGGTACCTGATCTCAAACCAGGTGAAGTGGGGCCAAAGTGAGACCCAAACTTTACCTGTACAATGACCATTTGTTTACCTAACCCTGAATTGTGCCCATCTTTAAATAATTAAAAAACAAAACAAAAAAATAGGAAAAACATTCACTTGGTTCAAAAATAAAAATATTAAAATGTATTTTTAAAAATCTTCATTTGAAGGCTAAATAGCCTTGACAAATGCCACAGTACAGAAGGACATTGAGTGAAGTTGAGCTTTTTTCAACTGCAGTCTATTAATCTAATCTTTGAGTTTCAAGATATTGACTTACTTTCATATTAAAGTTTACCAAGTATAGTGTTAGAAGACTAATGTTTTAGAAAAAGAGATAAATACTCTACCCTTTAGGTATCGATTAAATAATTATCTACATCTAAAAAATAGATTTATTTATTGCTAACTATTAATGATCTTGATATTCTGTTGAGTGTTCCTGTTCTAACTTTGGAATATAGTTTGTTTTATTTTAGTTCTGATGAATAACCTTTTATGACCTATTTATATGATATTATACTTTACAAATTTATTGAGAAGATTTTGCACTTATTGTAACATAATTACATTTTGAAAAAATCATGTATTTTAAGAATTCAATACATATGAATTGTTCAAGTATAAAATTTGCTTAACTGAATTAGAGAAAAAGTAGGCAGAGTATTGGCTACCTAAGATATTAGATACAATTATTATAAACCGAGAACTGTTAATTATATAAATGTAACTGATTATATAATATGATTCTATTGCCACTTAAAGGGATATCAGTTGCTTTATATAATATTTAAAGAAACTGTAGTCTCCCTTATTTATGGTTTCATTTTCAGATCATGGTCAGGCATGGTCTGAAAATATTAAATGGGTGATTCCAGAAATATAACAATTTATAAGTTTTAAATTGTACCCCTTTCTGAGTTGCATGATGAAATCTTTCTCTATGCCATCCATCCTGCCTGGGGCAGAAATCATTCCTTTGTACCGCATATCCATGCTGTGTACACTACCTGCCTGATAGTCACTTAGTAGCTGTCTCAGTTATCACATAGACAGAACATAGTTTATATGGGCTTCAGGACTATCCATGGTCAGGCGTCCACTGTGGGTCTTGGAACCTGTCCCCTGTGGATAAGGCAAGAACACTGTATTACTAAACATCCATTTCAATACACTGTTAGGCTAAAGTAAAATGGTTTAGTAGATATTCTGGAATGCTCCATTTCAGGATCAAGGAAAGCTAATTGTAATTTAGAAGTATTTAGTGTAAAAGTTACTGCAAATGACTTGATATTAATAATCTTTTTTTAATTAAGTTTTTTTATTTTTTAAGAGAAAAGGTCTTGGTATGTTGTCCTGGCTGGAGTGCAGTGGCTATTCACAAGTGCAATTATAGTGCACCTACAGCCTCCAACTCCTGAGCTCAAACGATCCTCCTGCTTCAGCTTCCCAAGTAGCTGGGACTACTGGCTTGTGCCAGTGTGCCTGGCTTATTGACACTAACGATCTTAGTACAGTTAGTACTCTTGCCTTCTGATAGCTTTCACCAGTTGCAATATTATTTTACCATAGATGTTATTTTTTAAATTTTAATGTTGCCTTTCAAAATTATCCTATGATAAAACAAAGGACTCAAGCTGTGATAAATAACTCTCAATTAGGATTTTCAGTTTTTAAAATATTGTGACCCATATGGATCTAATTTTAATTCTGGGCTTTTGTATTTTATGCATTTCAACAATAATGACTTCATTGTCTTGGATTCTTTTAACAGAATTGTGAGTAATTGAGATGTAGGCAGGTGTGAAGTTGGTTTTTGCACTGGTAAGAGGGAAAGAGGAGATTAGTAAATGGATTAATTGAGATGAAATTAATCTCCCACTATGTCAATCCTGGAGACATATTCTGTCAACCTCTTTCCTCCTATCATAAAACATCTGTCTAGAGACAGACAGTTAAATGTTATAGTAAACATCCACATTAGTCAGGGTTGGCATAGCTGCCATAGTACTATCCCCAGAGGAGAGTTCTTAAGGAAATGTCCCTCATCTGTTCATTTCTTCCTGTCTCTTTGGCTTGCTCACCAACTTTCAAGAAATTTCTAAAAATAAATGGTTTTACTTGAAAATGAATAAGAGTTAACCAAAAGACTATTATTTAAATTATTTTAAAGAAGCATTTTGTAGAAGAGGATCTAGTAACTTAAGGCTTATACTTATTCTTCTGAAGACTCAAAAACTGCACTTGGAATGTTAATTCACTTAAATGAAAATGTATGTAGTTCAGTGATTTCTTTTTTTGTTTTGTTTTGTTTTTTTGCTTTGTAAGTAGTCAACTGTTTGAAGAATGATTGGTATTTGAAATGGTCACTTTTAAAAAAAGATAATTAATTGAATTTAATTACTGTATCTGTTTTTACCAGTGAGACATTTTCCCTAGAAATAAAAGATATACAAATGAATACAGTTAGCAGAAATATTGGTAGCAAAATAAAATTTTGTCTAAGATGATAATATGTCAGGAAATTGTTTTTATACAGGTAAATGGTTGCAGTTTTGTGGTCAGAACAGGAAAGACTTCAAATTTATTAAGGGTACAGTATTTAAAACTGCTCAATATACTAATGTTTTATACTGCTTAAAATCATCTGGCTTACTAACAGAACTTTTCCTGCATGTACTTCTTTCTATGTGTGATTTAAAATTAATTTTAATGTTTAATAAAACTAAGTTATCTTCTTTTATAAAATTTAATCATAATAGAAGTTGATATCCTGTTTATGCTTTTCAGGTATATATCATTAACAGTAAAATATAAGTGTTCTACCAGTAAACTTCCAGGTGATGAATGATGTTTTAAAATGGGCATTTCTTTGGAATTCAATATTTGAATCCCTTTTCTTAAGGAATGTTGCTAGCACTGAATTGTTAAAAATCTTGGATTGATTAGGAAGAAGAATTTGGGGTCGATGATTTGTATTCTGAACAAGGAGCACAGTACAGTCAGACCCACCTAGAGATGATGGAAAATGAACTGGCTGGGAAACAGCATGAGATTGAAGAACTAAACAGAGAACTGGAAGAAATGAGGGCTGCTTATGGGACTGAAGGACTACAGCAGGTATGTTCACTTTCTGTGGTTTTTGGATAAGCCAGGCCAAATCTGTCTTTTACTTAGCTCGGCACAGTGGCACGTGCCTTCATCCTCGGCTACTTGTAGACTGAGGTAGCAGGCTTGCTTGTGGCCAGGAGTTTGAGTTCAGCCTGGGCAACATAGTGAGATCCTGTCTCTAAGAAATAATAATAATAATAATAATAATAATAATAAATGGTAACTTAGTTTTTTCTTTTTAATTTTTGTCTTTGTATGTAGCATAAGCAACCCCACTTAAAACTAGAATTTTATTAATAGGGCTAATATAATGGAGATTCTTATTTAACTTAATAGAACAGATATTTTTGTAATCAGCATGAGAGAAAGTTATAGTGCAAACCACATCAAAATATTATAAGTTAAGCCCATTAAGAATGTCGGCAAGTCCTTGGAGGTAACCTCTTGTGGTTAGAATGACGTCTGTTGTCTGTAGCACACAGTTATGAAAACAAGTTAAAATAGGACATTGATAAGGATGACAGAATACATTTCAGATTCATCCTCTCCAGAAATGAATTGAGACTGATCATGTATATGGTGGTGTTGCGTAGGAATAGATCGGGAGAATCTCTAAATAGAAAGCCACTTGTTCTTCTAGAAGTACATATATGGATAAACCAGACCAAATATATCTTTTACTTAGTTCAGATACAATTTTTTAAAGTTGATTTGAAAGTAAAATCAATTCCTGCAAGCTAATAACTTTCAAATATGGAAAAGGCTGCTTATAAACTGTAAGAATTCTGCCAATATGTTTAGAATTCGAATTTTGAAAAACAACTATGTGTAATAATAACCCATTTTGTTTAAAAAAGTAAGTCTAGTACTTCTCATTTTCACTGGTTTCCTTTAGTTACAAGAATTTGAAGCTGCCATTAAACAAAGAGATGGCATTATAACCCAGCTGACTGCTAATTTACAACAAGCAAGACGAGAAAAGGATGAGACAATGAGAGAATTTTTAGAGTTAACAGAACAAAGTCAAAAATTACAGATTCAATTTCAGCACGTAAGTATTACTAATAGAAAAAATATTAGTTTAATGATGCATTTTAAAAAAATATTTTTACTTTTGAGAACCAATCTAAATTTTTTACAAAAGCCATTTGCTTATCATATCATGGTGGAAACTAGTGAATCTGTTATGTTAACCAATAATGTAATTCATACTTCTTGAGTGGTTTTCTGTTACTATTTACTTTGTACTTCTCTGTCTTTATTTTGAAATCCTACAAAACCTTATAAGACTGATTGACTCCTTCTGAAGAAATTAATGTGTAGCCACATCCTACCTTTGCCAACTCTAGTATGGTTTTATTTTACTTATGTTCTAAAATGGTAACTAGACTGAATATTTTCCATTTACCTTTAATTAGACTCGCAGGAATCTAATTGCAATAATCAGAGTTTCTAATGGCAAATAACAGAAAACAGTTTGAAATAGCTAAAACAAAAGGGAGCAATTTAGTGAAAGGATTCAGCCTGCTTAAAGAACTTCAGGGCAGAACTACAACCAGACTTCTGAAAGGGGTTGGAATCAGAAACTGGAAAGCTGTCGGAGAATCCTGGGAGTTCTGTTTTTCAGGCCCACTTCTCTGCATGTCTGCCTCAGTCGTATTTCTCTTAAGAGACCAACTTTCTCTGCTGTGTCATGGGAAAGATGATTTATTGACTTGGCTTGGGTAGTGTGCTCATATCTACTCAGTCAGTCATGGCAGCATGTTTGCTGGGGTCTCAAGGCTGCAAAGGCAGCAGAGCTCCTGGACAGCTATTATGGACTAAGTAATATCCCAAAAGGTGTCTATTCCCTCAGACCGTCACTTCAGAATTTAATGTTTTGGGGTTTCTTTGTGTTTCCAAGTTACAGGTTAGTGAAACTCTGAGAAACAGCACTCACAGTAGCACAGCTGCAGATTTACTACAAGCCAAACAACAGATCCTCACTCATCAACAACAGCTGGAAGAACAAGACCATCTATTAGAAGATTATCAAAAAAAGAAAGAAGACTTCAAAATGCAAATTAGTTTCTTGCAAGAGAAAATTAAAGTATATGAAATGGTATGTTTACTTTAAGGAAGTTAACCAATTTGTAGCAGTTTTGCAGTTAATTTCAAAGTTTTTTATGCAGGTGTTTTTCTTTTTGGTTTGTGTGTGAATAGCAACACTTCATAATTAAGACAAGCTCTTTAAGTAAGTAAAATTATTTCAAAAGCAGACGGGAATCTCAGTAACACGGTTTTTAAGATAATACTATTACTGAGTTCCTTAAAAGTGATCAGCCTATGTTAAACTGAATGAATAGGAAAATCTAAATTTATAACTAGCCAGGCATGGTGGCTCATGCCTTTAGTCCCAGCACTCTGGGAGGGTAAGGCGAAAGGATCACTTGACTCCAGGAGTTCAAGACCAGAATGTGAGACTCCCCCCCGCCCCATCAGTGGCTCAGCCTGTAATCCCGCGCCTTTGGGAGGCTGAGGTGAGTGGATTGCCTGAGCCCGTGGGTTCGAGACCCACCTGGGCAGCGAGACCTCATCTCTACAATAAATAAAAAAAAAATCAGCCGGGCATGGTGGTGTGCACCTATAGTTCCAGCTACTTGGAAGGCTGAGGCGGAAGGATCGCCGGAGCCCAGCAGGTCGAGGCTGCGGTGGCCGGGAGCGGCCACTGCACTCCAGTCTGGACGACAGAGTGAGACTCCAACTCAAAAAAAAAAAAAAATTTTAAAAATCAGCCGGGTGTGATAGCACGCACCATTAGTTCCACATAGTTGAGTGAGAACCTGTCTCAACAAATAAATAAATAAATAAATAAATAATATCCCTTTTTTGGATCATCAATGGATTTTAGCCATGGTTGTGAAATTCTGAAAAGTTTTCACAACAAAATGATTTTAATTAGGAAAAAATAAATGTAGTAAATTCTCTTTATTCACTTGAGTTATGTTCTGTAAAGTTGTTGGGAACACTTATTTAGCAAATAAGTGCTCCTGGAGCAAAGGAAATAAATATATTTTCTCCTCTGTTTTATGCACACACACACACATTATCAGTTATAACCTTAAATCATAAAAACCATCCTAGAATATTCTATTTTCCTTATTTTTATTTATTTATTTATTTATTTATTTTTTGAGTTAGAGTCTCACTCTGTTGCCCAGACTGGAGTGCAGTGGCCACTCCCGGCCACCACA